GGGCTAGAAATGTTTGTAATAACAGTTCAGTTCCAGTGGCTACACAGGAAGTTAAGGCTGACGTGGTTAGCCGTTACTTGGCCCTGTCTGCGATTTCAACACTCCTTACCCCATTCTGTGTTGTGATTTGAATCATGGTGTAAAAATACAGAGTGCAGAGTTTACAGGACTACCCGTTGCTGTGAGGTTTGGCAGTCTGGTCATTTGCTGTCACCACATCTGGAGCTGTGAAAGAGAAACGGCTAACGCTAGCTAGCCCCCTCCCTTAAACAATGCAGGACAAACACAGCACTGAGTGTGCAGGAGCAGATGACTGAGTAGGTCTGAGTAGTGGGAGCCAATGCTAATGTTGGAAAGCTAGGCTAAAAGCTTCCACTTTAAGAGCTGAAGCTAGTTAGCCTAGCTTTCTAGCTTCCACTTTTCTTGTGGAACATAAGCTATGCTAGCTTCCACATTATGAGTGCTCTCTGAGTTGAACACGCTAACTAGCTAGCCTACTTTGCTAGCTCCCATTTATGAGTGGAGGCTAGTTATTTTACCTTGCTAGCTTCCACTTTGCTTATGTAATACAAAGGTAATAGCACGAATCCTTCCAAATGTTCAATGTTGTGAAGGACAGATAGCTTAAACCAACGCTGTGTGAGCCTCTTAAAAACAGGATAAAGCGTCTCAGGGTACACAGTGGGCCTATGACATGCTCCAGTAAGAACGCTCCGTGGGACAGTGTGTCTCCTAGCAACGCTGACCCACAAACGTCTCTCAGCTGCTGCAAAAGGAAACCTCCACCGAGAGGCCTGAAGCTTAGACGCTGTGTCAACAGATAACAACAGTTCCTCTTTTTAAAAAAGTAAAAATTTGCACTATAGCTGAACTATTGTTACGTTTGATATTGTCTTGTTCCAAATGTGAGGAAGAATTAAGATTCTCTTCTGTTCAGTTTAAAAAAAAAAAGAAGTTTATTCTGTTGTGAAAGTAGCTTTTGTTCTAAAACTTACTTACCAATTAACTGGGAGATTATTGGTACATTTCTAGTTCATGGTAAACATCAAGAGTGGGACATAATCTGTTCATTTTTCAAAATGTAGTATGCACCAATCATCCTTTGGTCTGATACAATATCCAGGTATAGAGATACAGTTTAACAGATAGTGAGCTTAGAAACTTTCTTTCGGTGGAGAAACTCAAACGGAATCCGACACAAAGACAGCCTGTAAGTCACATCATTCATCATTAAAGACGATGAAACAGATCAAAGAGTAGATGAATTGAGCTGTTCAGCTTTCAACAGACGCTGCAGGTACAGTATTGCGTCCCACTGTCCATGCCACATAACCATAGCACAAAGGGAAAAGAGCCTGACAAGTGAGCATATGACAGAGAAGATTATGTTGAGTCCATAGGTCACATTTCTTTAATGTGCAAACCCTCCGAAATACCTTTTATTGCCGTCTGGGAGAAAGTGAAAGCCTTAGTTTAATGCGATACAACGGAGGTCCTCATTGGTTTTAAAATATGCAAAGAAGTACATGCTAACATTAACCACTGCCTACATTATTTATCCTCCTGAAAAGTGTTTTATCAGCACTAGGCCTGCTTTACTTTACTTTTAAATATTCAAATTAGAGCGGAACTAAAATATCTACCATGCAAGAAAATAGCTCTTTTACTTTTGCTTTTAAAATTAAGCTCACAGTTTTCGTATGTTTGATTAAAATGGTTTGGTTTATTGCAAATTCTGTAGATCTGCATTTTTTAAAGGAATTGCCTAAGGCCTAACCACCCACAGTAATCAATATGTTTTTTCTGTGTGGCTTGAAATACTTGAAATAATTGTTCAACTTCTGCTCATAGTCTCAGACACTCGGTTGTGACTGAAAAAGTGACAAAAATAACATAAAAACCTTCAGTGTTCCTGTTTTGTTCATCCACACGGTTATACTGAAATATGAGAACTCCAAGATTACTATGTGATGCGTGTAAAACACAGTCCTTGTGTTTCACTTTAGTTCCACTTTTAGCAATGACTTCAAATCTACTTCAGAATGTTTGTGAGACTTGAGAGTGAACGTGAAAATGTACTAAAGGAACGGTATCGTAGTGTGTGTGTGTGTGTGTGTGTGAGAAAGATTCTTAAGCACGCTATGTTTTTCACAGTAACACCATAAGGTCATAAACTAACAGATTCATCTTTCAAAAGTTACTTTGTGTCTATTTCGTCGTCTTTAGTGGTTGATTCGTTCCCTGATGTGGACTTTATTTACATGGCAGGAGGTTTTAGAGGGAGAGGGAAAAGCTTTTACTGTGGTTTACATTGGCAGTGTATCATTGGGCTTACTAAAAACTAAAGAGCTGTTCCTTGCTTTTTAGCACTCAATCTTTTCCCCCGCTCTTTATTCCCTAACACCCATCACAAATTTGGTCTGGTATGTGACTGCTAATTTATCCTTTCAATGTATGATATCCTGTCATCTCCTCATTTGTCCCTGAGTGTTTCTAATCTGAGATAATCCCAGTCAAATCCTTTGATTGTGTGTTTGGACCTGATCCATCTCTAAAGAAGCAATTTAATGGGCTTCATGGCACTTGGTGTAAAGTCATTTATCTAGTGGATTGGATGTGAATGCTTGTTTTAATAAGTGCTCTTCATGAATAGTAGGAGACGTGCCATTTAATTAGGCAGAGTGTAGACCTATCCCATCCCCAAAACTTCTGCAACTCCAAACTTATTTGGAGCTGAGTGCTTTGTTAGAGACGGTGTGGAATTTTTTAAAATACAGATTTTGTATCTTTTTTTGTATGAAAAAAACCCAAATGTGATCTGGTTGACTGGGAAAGGTTTTGATATTGATTCTAAGTTGTGCAGGGCAATATGAACGAAATAAACCTTGCTAGTAATAGAAACCTATTTCCTTATTATGAAAATTAGAAATTTCTGTTACATTGTCTAATAACATATTAACAAGTCACAAAAGCAAAGCAATCTTTCAGCAAATATATGGCAGGCCTTTAGGAACAGACAGCCCATTTCCCAAAATAGACACAGCAGGCTCGGTTTAGTCAGCTAAACACACCACATGCTATTGTTTTAGTATCAAAAGCCAGATAGATATGCAGTTTACAATGACAACAATGATAGATTTACCATAGAACTTTTTTTAAACAGTGGGTCTTTGATTTCACAGAGAAGTAAATAAAAGCAGGCTTCTGATTACTACCTGATGACTGGCAATTTTGTCGGCTGAAATGACAACTGCCGCTAGCAGATTTGATCAGCTGTAGATATCTAGCGTTAGCCAATTACCGTCCGCTAATTACCTATCGCTGAAGTTGGTTGAAAACTCCAGCAAACTTTTCACTGTTTCCAGCTGAGTCATTATAAAACAAGAACCCTGTAAAAAGGGGTCTTAAATATGCACATGATGGATACGTACTTGATATAGTGCTAAAAGACTGAAACTAAAGCTACACGTTCCAGGCAGAAAGTCAGCATCCTCACCAGCTGTAGAAGACATGGAAATAAAGACACAGCATTGCTCTTGTATTGCACGGTAGAGCCATGAGAATATGCTTTGAGAATGATAAGTAAACCAACAGGTTTGATAAACATAACACTATTTCAGGAACACAAACTCCCCCAAACAGGGGCAGGACAGGGCTGCTAACGTTGCTCTAAACTTACTTAGTCTTAATTTAGGGGTTTTGTAGCATATTGTGACCCCACAAAATAATGTAGTTTGATAATGATATTACTACCTACTGTAGTAAGCTTTCTTTACTTGCTAACGGACTTGTTAGATTGATTTTACCTTTTCATTTATTGTTTTACTATAAATGCTATAGAATCTATTATTATTATTATTTTCTTTCTGCAGTTCATACAATTTTTGGTCAATTCAGATACTAAATCTACTACAAGATAATTTCAAGCTTAAGGAAATATTTAAATTTAATGGAAATAATAACTTAATTTGCTTTAAACATACTCAGTCATCGACTGAAAAAAAAAGTTTACATTTCACTGAGATGTAGGCTGGTAAGGGAACAAATGATTTCGATATTTGTTCCAACTCAGTGTGAAGATAGATTGGGAAACTCCAAAATCTGTTAGTCATTTCCCAGCAGTGAGCGTACATAATGGTTTGTTGCAACACAGAGTTGTTTTTAAGACAGAAATCTCCTCCAATACATGCTCCTCCTTCATTATGAAATCATACCAACCGTATACTCTTTTCCCCATAAACAAAGCAATGCATGTGGCTGGAATGAAAGAGAATCTACCTTGTGGTGCATCTCACTCATCTATTTCTCACTCACTCTGCTTCTATGCAGTCTTTAGAGTTCACTGGAAAGTTGTACTTTTTTTCCCCATTTGGCTTCCTGTTGTGACGTGCCCCAGTGTGCAGCTGCGATTGGCTGCTCAATCTAACAACTTCCTCAAAAACAAAAACACAGAGCGATCAGCTGACTGCGTGTGCAGTAATAAAAAGTGTAGATATACGGTAGTAAACCTATGTTCTGACACGCTTATTTGTCTCTAACTGTACATATAACCTCGGCGAGAGAAAACAAAGGAATGTGAACAGGAAGTGGAGGAAACAGCTGGTATCTGGAAATACTCAGAAGTGAGTGGAAGAAGTCGTCTCGCAGTCACAACAAAGAGTGAAATATGGGCAGTGTGTACCAACCTTTATCTTCAGCAGAGTCATGCAGAAGTTTATCCATAGGTATGTATGTTGTCCTGAAGTGTCCTTTCCATTTCAAGGTAATTTACACTTAAGAATAGATTGTATTTCTACATTAATGGCAGGAATCGAATTACTATGTGTACTTTCTCTTTCACCCAAACTGAAACCAGGGCCTGTATCTATAAAGCATCTCAGAATCCGCCCTTCTAACTATGTTGAAATTTGAAGTAGGAACTTAGAAAACATAATAATCAAATAATATTGGTGAATTTGTTATTTAGGTTATATATACATAAATTATGCCGAAATTAATAAGTAGCTGGCTTTAATAGAATAATTAATCATACTTACCATTAACATAGTAGGCTGTACATAAGCTAACAGTGGTAAGCCAGTTGTGTGGCCTAAAACAAAAAGTGCAAACAATTAAAAAATAGCAGTTAACTTGGCTCAGCCCTCATATTGTTTTACAATGCCTATAATAGTGCCTGTAAATGAGGAGTATGGCACGCGCAGCAATAATGTTGCAGCTCTGATACCTACAGAGTAACTCAGCTTGGACAGAAAGCCTAGGTTACAAATTGGAGGCATGGAGTTCAAAAAATGTGGGCATTTACCAGGTAGAGAGGGTCTTATGAAAGATGGTATTGAGTTGCATTGTGGGGAATTAACCTCTGCTTTTTTGATTTTGATCATTCTTTTTTATTTACTATTATTTATTATTTACTTATGTGTCTACTCATTACAGTTGGATGAAATATCAGGTATTTCTATAAGCAACAATATAAGAATATGAACACACCTCTAAAACATTACAAAATACAATGTAATTTAAATAAATAGATGATAAACAGATCATTTGCATGAATGAAGCTTGTGGAAATGAATAAATCCACACATTATCTGCCGCCCCATGTAAGCTATCAAAGTTCAATCCACTACTACTAAAATTATGATCGTTGCAGGCCTAAATGATAATTTTTTGCCAAGCTGCACTTTCTCTGTTGTTTTAAGGTTGTGAGCACATCAGTTTTTGCAGAGCTCATGTGCTTGTTTTGCATCCTGGAAAGTCAGTCACAATTATTAGGATTTTATTTATTTTTTACCATACAGTATCTATCAAACCAGGCCAATTTCCTTCTCTGAGATGCTTGATAAAAACAGACGCAGGTCCAGTATGAAATTTTCCTTCATACATAGATTCTAAATGTACTGTAGGTGTGTCATTTAAAGTAACCTGCTGTAAATGTGTAAATCCCTGCTTCCATGTAGAGGTGCTCTAGGCCTGCGCTTGGAAGTCACGACGGCCGCGGTGTTAACTTACCAGTCCCCCAACCCCCACCCAACCCCACCCCCCATTGTAGCCAGATGGCTGTCACACAGACGGTTCCTCGCCCAGACCATGCTGATTTCCCATCATTCTTTTGTTAATGAGGTCGTTTGCAATGCAGCGGACAATTAAATTATCTCAATCTGGCGTTTTCCTCATTTGTTTACTGTATAGTGTACTGTACAGTGTTTTAGACTCAGCAAGTAACACTGCTCAGTTTGAATGCCTTCTGCTTTCTTATGATTCATGTCTGTGATACTGTGCAGCAGGGAATTAAAACATCACTGACTGCCCACCACTAAAGCCATCTTCAGACAGTCAAGTAGTGTAAACAGAGCTCTCGACAGAGTTCGTGTTGGTACATTCTCCTCTGTGATAGTGGGAGATCGGCGTCTCCAACTGACGAGCTTTGTTTTAGTACATCATCACCCTGTATGGAAACTACACAGCCCGGAGCTGCTGCTACTGCCGCTGCACAGACGAAGTTTTGTTTTGCTTTTAAAACGTGTAGAGAGGGTGACTTCAGCCAGTTAGTCGAGCGCTCACCTTCATGTGAAACGCTGCCGAACACTGACACCGCTGACAGTTAATTATGGGAGTCACAGATCACCCAGACGTGTCAGCTCGGCTACGATTGACGCGTCGCATGTTTACATCTCTGTTGTAATGTTGTTTTCTAGTTATTTTCTCAGCAGCAGTGCATCCGTTATTTAGCTGCACAAGTGCCTCGGGGCTTGCCATAATGATCGTAAAAGCAGTACAGATTCGGGGGAATGAAATGTTAAAAAGGACTTGTGGGTATAATTGGTGAACCTGCCATCACAGTAACTTTGGAAATATTTTCGGTCAGGCTGTTGAAACACGTAGACTGCCTGTTAGCTAGACTGTCATACTCTATATGTATGGCTCTGCATGGCTCCATTATTTTCTGCAAACTCTCCTACACATACAAAGTTATTCTGACAATGAGTGAAAACCAACTAAACCTGATAGCTTGTTAGACAGGCAGACGGAAAAGAAGCAAACATATAAATTTTGACACACAGTAGTATTTGGAAAGTGCCTCACTGGAAGGATTTCCATTTTTAGGCCAGGAGGTTGGTGTCAGTAACGGAGGTAAAGGAAGTGGCATCCAGACACACCACACATTTATCTAAAAAAATGCCTGATTTTTGACTTGACCAAAATTGGTGCTGAGAAAAAAAAAAGTTTATCTGGTTTTTCTTTTTCACAGCTTGTCTCAGAGATATTAATAAAAGGTGAGATATATGCCTGGTCAGTAATAAAATCTGCTTACACAGAATCTGATGGGCTACATTAAAAACTCACCCTTTGATTAAAAGATTTTTCATCTGAAGATAGATTTTCACCTGAAGCAATCCGGTTCAATGAGAGGCCCAAAAGAGACAGGAGCTTCTGAGGCAGCAGTTTATCCCCCAGTCAGGCGAGCGCACAGATGACAGCTAGTGCTCACTGCTGTCTCCCAATGTTTTTAATGGGATGAAACCAACAAATCTGGCTTCTAGCTACTGTCCAATATTTAGCTTCAAAAATAATCACTGACGGAGATATTGGTGAACTTTGCTGGTTAAATTAGAGATGCTGGTTGCAGCACAAAGGAGCATAAAACTGAATAGATCTAGTGGCTAACCCCTGCCCTGGGCTAGGACCACATGTCTGGCAGCTAGCGCTTGATATCCCACTGCTCACCTTTCATGTCCACTCCTAATTGAACTGGGTCGGATCATTTTACTGCAAGATATTAGGCGTCATTTCAGCTGTGACTTCAAAGCAGCTGTTGTAAGTTGTGGAGGCAGCAAACAATGTGTCGGTGTTAACAATTAACTACTCCAGATTCTTCTTTTCACTCTATTGCCAAACACAATCTTACATCAGGCCATGTAAACCATGTTTGGATTAGTCTCTCAGATGTTACCACACTGAAACCATGACCTGTATTCATCAAGCATCTTCAAATTCTGTTCCTGTAGCGACACTCTAAAGCATACACGACTTTATCATGGAGACCATAAACTGTTTACTATGGTAACAAATCAAGTGAAAAGTAGGTTATTTTTCCATTAGACTCGAAGTATTATTTTGCACTTTTATTGTCTTTTTATTGATAGTGACAGCTGAAGATAGACAGGCAAGGGGGGCAGAGAGTGGGGATGA